AACCAAATAATGCTAATTTAGTTTCTTTATATAAAAGTGCTGCATTTTTTCTTGATGCTTCTTCTGCATGCTTCTGGAAACTTCTGGATACTTCCTTTAATTATTAAAAAACTTCCGTAACGTTGACACGGACCAGACTTTATGTTACTTAAATGTACATACAAACCTTTATTTTACTTATATTTACATATAAAGCTTCATGTTACTTATATAAGCTGCAAGTAATTGGCATAAAATTAAAAACAAACGCGCTACCCAATAATATCCACTAGCACTAATTTAAGGTCCAAAATAAATAAGCATGAAAAAAAAAATTTAAAAACTACATACTTTTTTCTTTTCAATCATTTGCTTTTCAAGAACTTCATCATAAGTATTTTGTGTTTCAAAATCAAAATCTTTTTCTTTTGCCTAAAATAGATATCATTGTGAAGTATGCAATCACTTTTTAAAATATATATCACTGTGAAGTATGCAATTACTTTTTTAAATATATATCACTGTGAAGTATGCAATCACTTTTTAAAATATATATCTCTGTGAAGTATGCAATCACTTTTTAAAATATATATCACTGTGAAGTATGCAATCACTTTTTAAAATATATATCTCTGTGAAGTATGCAATCACTTTTTAAAATATATATCACTGTGAAGTATGCAATCACTTTTTAAAATATATATCACTGTGAAGTATGCAATCACTTTTTAAAATATATATCTCTGTGAAGTATGCAATCACTTTTTAAAATATATCACTGTGAAGTATGCAATCACCTTTTAAAATATATATCTCTGTGAAATATGCAATCCTTTTTTAAAATAGATACCACTGTGAAGTATACAATCACCTTTTTATTAAAACTTGTTTGTTTAAACTATAAAACTTTTTTTTTTAAATGTTGTATAAACAAATGAATATTAAAATGTTGTATGAATGAATGAGAATTAAATAAAAACTAACTTTACTTTCTTTTTTTAACTTCAATAATAAATCTTGTTCTTTTTTTGCAAATAATATTTTAGCTTTTATTTGCTTATTCCTTAAATTTTCTTCAGCTTTTAGTTCGTTTACTTCTTTTTTCTATATATATAAAAAAAAATAATAGTAAAAATAAATGAAATGATTATACAATTATAATATTAAATTGTTTGCAATTTTAAATAAGTTTTATAAATTACAAATTTATCTATAAATTTTTTTTTTTTAATAACAAATATAAAAAAAACTGTGTACTAGTATGTCTGCCTCATTTTGCTTGATTTTTTTTTCTTCTTGACGTTGATTTTCCAATGCTTGACGTTGCATATTTAAAGTCTAATGAAATAAATACCATATCTTAGAAATTAAAAAAAAATTAAACCAACAATAATAACTAAATAAGCAATAATTAAAACAAATATAAATAATTTAAAAAAATAATATTACAAAACATTATTAAAAAATAAGAACAAAATTTAAAAAATAAAATCACAAGAAAATTTAAATGTTAACCTTCATTTAATAAGGAACTAAACTATTGTTAAACATTAATAGAAACCTCTATACAGATACTCACCTCTATAACAGATTGGTTTAGTTTAGCTTTTTCATTTGCTTTTATTTCTTCTTGAAGCTCTTTACATTTAATATCTTGTTTGCACATTTCAGCAAAATAATGTTCAATTTCTGCTTCTTTTTTCAATTTCTCTGCCTTAATTAAAAGTTGTTCATTTCGATCAGCAAATATCTTGTTTTGCGTTTGCTTACTTAGCTGAGTACGAAGATCATGACATTCCTCCCTTATAATGAACCAATAATAATACACAATCAGCTACAATACAACAAACTACACCTAAATTATTAATACTAACAAAAAATTACTGTTTATAAAACAACTATGCACTATGCAAGTTTGGTGTTAACAGAAAACAACAAGGGTGCAAGCAACCACAAGTTGAGTTTGGTATTAACAGAAAACAGCAAGGGTGTAAGCAACCACTAGTTAAGTTTTGCGTTAACAGAAAACAAAAAAGAGAGTTACAGTGCAAGAAAGTGAATAGCTAAAAAAACTGTAAATAATATGTCAGGAAAACATAAAAAGCAGTAAACAAAATAAGGTTTACATAGAGAAAACAATTTTTAGCAAATTGCATAAAAGTATACATACCGAAAAAACGCAAACCATAAAAGCCTATATAACATTTATATAAAATAACATTTATACAACAACAGCATATTATACAATGACAGCATAATTGTTCTTTATTTGATTTCTTTATTCAGAAAAAAAATTTTATTGTCATTGTATTTATCATAACATTAATGTGTGTTAAAATAATGATCATATATATATATATTTTTTTTAGCCATCTCTCTCATAAAGAATTGAACCTGATCAAGTTTGTTTTATAACTTGCAGAACCTTTTCTTTTGTAAACTAGGAACAAAATGGTTGATTCAAATGTGCAAGCTCCAAACTATTCAAATTTTAAACAAATTTGACACTGATAATGATGGTAGTCCATTCCTTTAAATAGTCAAACAATTAAATTAACCAGCGTAACTGAACCATGAATATGTCCATCAGATAATAACAAAACAGGTCTTACTATCCCCTTCTTAGTAAGTTATTGGTCAAATTCTTGACAAGCAGCCTCAAAAGTGTCATTATCTGACATTTCATTTTCAGTTGTTATAACAAGGTGAAGACTAATTTTTTCAACAGCTACTTGTAATACAATCTGACTTGTTATTCCAACCAAAGAGAAAACGATTTGTAATGTATAAAAATTAATTGAAAATAGTTGAATTGTAATGCATCCCTTGTTTTCTTGCTGCATATTGAGGCATTATTCACCTTTTCCTGCATATACCATATTGCTGCATTTTGTCACATTAACACCATAATTCACAATTATGATGTCTTGTCATCATTGAAGATTCTTGTGGTGTCAATGTCACCCTTTCATACACCATAATCTACTTTTTCAGCATTTTTCATAATATCAGCAGCATGTAGTTCAATCGTAAGGTTATTTAAAAGATTACATTCTATTTCTTGGGTACAGTTAAGTGCTTTGTTTATTTATAGGTGACATGGGCAATTTCACTTTTAAGCATGAATGCTTTGCAATTAATTGTGACCAAAATAAATGAATAAATCTGAAACAATAAAAATAATGATTTTAAATATTATATATATATATAAAAATATATAAAACTACTATATATATAAATTCACTGTATATATTAAAAAAGTGTAAGAAAAAAATGTTGATCAAGTAAACTTTCTTACATACAGCAAACAAAAAGACTTCTTGTTTACCAGAGCTGATTTTGCATTAGGAGACAACTTAACAAACTTCTGACCTCATTCACATCTTTTATTAGTGTAGTCATTTATCTAATCTTTAAAAAAATCAAGAAGAAGTTTGATCAACTCTACCTTGTTGACGTCTTGCAAACTTCTATTTCTGATTTTGATATAACTTACTACTGCTTCCTCCTCCTCAAGTATAAAAAAACTACAACAACAATGTTCATAACCAGGAAAAAAACCAAAGCTATTTGGATATCAAATTCAGTTAATTAGCATTCTCTAAAAAAGTAAAGACTTGACACTTTTTTTTTTGGTCCAATCTTTGATTAATCGTTTTTCTATCTTTAACTAGAGGTTACAACCCCATCTTTAAGGACTTAAAGCCTTGCACATTATGGCTGATACAAAATTTTATTACCTCTTCTTTTTCTCCACTTTTGCCTCTAGCTTGAAATTTTTAGTTTTCATCTGTATTTTTTTAACTCATTTACAAAACATCAGCCACTTGTAGAAATTGTCTGAATAGAAAAACAACTTAGCAAGTTAAAATGTTGCATTTTGCTATACTTTTACAAACACAAAATCTTCTATTTTATTGTGGCTTTAATTAGATTTTAAAATTTTGATCTTTTAAAAATGTTATTGATTTTTAATAGGTAAAAAATATAATATAAACTTGTTTAAAACACTGCAAGGATATCTTTAGAATCAAGAGTTAATAGAATCAAAAAATTGAGAACACATGTAAAACCTGAAATTTTTTTTTTTGAAAACATTTTGTTTTGGGTGTCTATTTTGTGTGACTAGTGTTCCATCACTTTCTTCAAGACTTATTTAGTAACTGTTTATATTTAAAGCAGGTCAAGTTATATTAGGTCACACCAAATTTCAAGTCCATAGAAACAAATAATTATTTGAATGCAATTTTTGGAATGCAGTACTGTAGATGTTTTCTATGCTCAATCTAAAAAATTTTCAGACAGTTTATGTCAAATTAACTATACCAAAAAAACAAAAAACTGATACCTAATGATAAAATTTATACAATCAAAAAGAAATGAAATGCTATTAGCAATATTATAAAGCCATGTGAAAAACCTAAAATTTTCATTCTCTCAGAAGCCATTGAATTAAACAATACCTTCACAAAGGTGTTCGAGCCAGAGGATATAGATCAATTTGATACCACTAACTACAATTATGATCCTGCCACATTCCATTCAAATAATAAACTACCTAGCATTAGCAAAAATTAAATCATCAGCTAGTGGACCAGACAGTATCCCTGAAACAATCCTAAGAGATCATGCCACTATTTTGGTTGCCACTCTAATGCTAATCTACAATCAAAGCTTTACTCAACATAAGTTTCCATCTGCATGGAAAAAAGCTCTTGTAATTCCAATTAAAAAAAAGGTAAATTCATGTCAGACGCAATGACTCTTTGCAGTAAGAAGTTAATAATTTGCTAAGTTGATCATTAGATGTTAAAACGCATGTCAATGCATGCAAAAACTCAAATGATTGATTTCTCCTTAGAAATGAAAAGATTTTTTCCTTAGATGATTTCTCCTTAGAAACTCAATTGATTCATTTCTCCTTAGAAAGGTTTTTCAATATTTATTGCAGGCAGTAAGTTTGAAACCCTTACTCAAACTCCTCGGTGTGGCCATAGAAAATGATTTTAAGTAGAACACTCATTTCAAAAACATCCATCAGAATTGAATAGCAGATATTCCAGTTGCACTGGAATGTCTTCTAATTGCCTGGCATTTTTTAGTAACCTCCTGAATTAATAAAGAAAAATTATTTTGCCTTAGTCTTTTCCCCTATGGTTTATTCTTTACATATATAAATATATATATATATATATATATATATATATATATATATATATATATATATATATAATATATATATATATATATATATTAGACATTTTATTTCTTAATAATTGAAGAATGTCTAATTAACCTAAGACAAATTTTTTCATTGAATATTCAATTTATCAATGAAAAGTGAATTTTAAAAAAAAAAACTTGAATTTTATAAAAAACAAGAACTATTTCTAAACTGTAACATTTTTACAATAAAGAAATAAATATATACAGTGTTAGTAATTATTATGCTACCATTTTATAAAGTGTTGCTAAAGTTTTATTTGTTCAGACTTGGTGACTCAAAAAGAGTATTATAAATTCCAGATAATTACCAAAAAAATAATTAACTATTGACTTAAAGCCATTGATTTTTTCATGAGAATAAAAAACTTTGAGTCATTTTTTTAATATGGGGATTCTTTTGGAACTCTAAATTTTGAGTCTCCCTTGTTTCTTTAAGGGGCACCTTTTTACTGATCTCCATTGTTTCTTAAAAGGGAATCTTTTTACAAACCTTTTTAAATATCAGACCTGAGAAAATCAGTCTAAATTTGATATGAAAGGGTAGCTATTTTTTATTACAAATATGTTTTCCTTTTTTTTTACAAAGGCACCTTTAGAAAAATAAACAATTGCAAATCCTCTTTCTACATTTGTAAAATTTTCAATCTACTTTTTATAAACAATGATTGTACTTTACTAAATGTTGCAAAAAAAAAAAAAAAAAAAATCATTGTGCATTTATTTTTTATTCACAAAACATTGCAAAAAAAATATTTTATTCACAAAACATCACAACAAAGAATATAATTTAAAAAATAAACTTCAACATACAAAGTTCACATACAACAAATCTTGAGTAAATATTGTAAAAAAATTCTTCATTTATTTAATTTTAAAAAAAATATAATAAATTTTATATTAAAACATGATGTTTTTAAACAAGTAGAATACTGTGTTTTGGTATTTCATACTTTTTTTGTTGATTTGTTTATAAACTGTGTTTATAAATCATTGATATTAAATACACTGATATTGAATCTACTATGCTTGTGTACATATTGAAATGATATTGAATACTATGCTTGTGTACATATTGAACTGATATTGAATACTATGCTTGCGTGCATATTGCACTGATATTAAATACTATGATTGTGCACACAGTGAACTGATATTGTATAATATGCTTGTGTACATATTGAACTGATATTGAATAATATGCTTGTGTAAATATTGAAATGATATTGAATACTATGCTTGTGTACATACTAAACTGATATTGAATACTATGATTGTGCACATATTGAACTGATGTTGAACCTACCGTGCTTGTGTACATATTGAACTGATATTAAATACTATGCTAGTGTACATATTGAAATGATATTGAATACTATGCTTGTGTACATATTGAACTGATATTCAACACTATGATTGTATACATAAACTTGTAAGCACAGTTTGGAGCTTGCAGTCTTTCTATGCAGTTTGTGAAACTTCATCATACTATAAATTATTGACTAAAAATTTTTCATGCAAAATAAATTTAAAAATGAAAACCTAAACTTCTTTTCCATTTTCTCTGCCACATAAAGCTGTTTTTCACTTTCTCGTTTTTTCTTTAAGAACTCTAATTTATCTTTCATAAGTTTTTGTTGATCTACTTCCTCTTTACAATCAAGCTCCAATAGATATTTTTTCTCTTCTGCTTCAAGCATCAATTTCAATCTTAAAAAAATATGTATCTCATTAATAAAAACACATTTTTAGTAAGGTAAAAAACAAAACAAAAATAAAAAAAAAAGGTAATTTATAATTATAATTATAAAGGAAGTCTGCAAAAGGATTTTGGTTTTGAAAGTTACAAATATAAAAAAAGTCATAAATATAATGGAGAAACTGAAAGTATAAAATAATTTTTATTTTTGCATTTTTCTTTTCAATATAATTTTAATTGACTTTTTATTGGGTTCTCTCATTTGTATACAACAGGGATGAAAAGTCGCAAAAAGGATTCCCATCAAAATTAATTCATGGGAATTAACATAATCTTTTTTAATTCCTAAAGTTCCTTTCCACAATATTACATATAGACTCCAGAATAAAAATTGATATTTTTTGTACTCTAAATGTATTAATTTTGTTACATAATAAAGTCATCCAATATAGAATTTTGTTACATAATAAGTCTTCCAATATAGAATTTTGTTATGTAATAAATAGTCCAATATAGAATTTTGTTACGTAATAAGTTGTCCAATATATAATAAGTCAAATAAAAAGTCAAATAAAGTAAAAATCAATATTATCCAAACATTGCTTATGATTTGGGATTACTTTCATGTTTTTAACAACTTTTATGGAAAACAGATCTTTGGTCAATTAAAATTTCATAACTTAAATTATATATTTGATGGTTGAAATTTAGAATACTTATGAATGAATGTCTGTTTTATTTAATTTTTGGATATACTCAACAAGTTAAAAATTATATATTAAACTATTTTTCTGAATAATTATAAGTAATAAATATTTATGAACAACTGTAATGTTAAAAAAATGGAAAATATAACTTTAAAAAGAATTTGAAAAATATCAGAAAAATCATTACTATAAGGGAAGAACAACATAAGATGATGGGGGAATTGGTAATGATGGTTTATTTATAAATATTTTTAGGCACTTTATTCATGTTTTTAATAATTAGAATATTTATTATAAATTATGAAAATCCATTTTGTTTGTATAATGATAATGAATTTAATTATCAAAGCAACTTGTATAGCTTTATTTTTAAATATACTCATTAGGGGTATCACTAATATATGATAAAAAGCACACTTCATTTTCTCAGAAATGCCATAATAACCTATAATAAGCGTAAGCATTAAGCATAGTAAGCGAAGCCGTACTAAAGCAGAGGCCGGGTTTGATAAGATAACAGGGGTTGGAACCGGGTTTGTGAACCGGGCTGCATAAACATTTATACATCTAAAGTATATTTTTTTATTCAAAATTCATGTTTTATTTTGTATATATATGCAAATATAAACATCATTATGATCAACATGATCATCATAATCATCATTACCATGATCATCCTCATCATCATTATCATCATCAAGTTTTAGCCTTCCTTATTTATACTGTTTCTCTAATATAAATAATCTAGAGCATTTTCTTTTCTTAACTAAAGTTCATTCATACAATATATAAGGTACTCTCTTTAAGTTTTCTTACTTCTACCTTTAACATTTAATCCTGAAGCTGTTACCTCTTTACATGATAATTAAATCACTTTAATTTTCTCTAACAAATGTTGTTTGATAGAACATTGTTTTTTAATCTGTTCTTTAGACTCTTACCCATCTTCATGTTTTCCTTTTATATACAACCTACAACTTTAAGTCTTCAGTTAACCATTTCCTAGCTTTTTAACTCTATCCTCTATTTTAAAGTAACTCATAACTTAACAGTAGTTGCCTGTAACCTTGTTGGAAGTAAATAAGAGTTTAAAAACATATAAGCATATGTCAGTTTTTAATAAATAGTAAAAGTATATATATAAAATTATAATATATAAAGTATTATAACTACTTTTCTAGCCCTGGCTATCAAAGCCTTCTAAATCTTATAATTTTTCACTTCCTAATAGCAGCAAAAGATGAACTTTTACTTGTATTAACATAAAGTATTTTTACTTTTTTCCAAATCAAAAAAAAACTACCCCACCAGTACAGATGAAAATTTGGTCTCAGCAGGCTAAAAATACAAACAAATTCAAATTTTTGCAATTATGATGGGGGCAAGATCATTTACAAATGTTTCAAAAATACCATGAGTGTTATTTTTGTAGCTTGATTTATATGATTTTAGATTGTTTTTTTTTTTTTTTTTTAATAAAAATGATGGTAATAGTCATGTATCTTTTTGGGAAGTTAGGTAGAGAGGAGTCAAAAATATGTTTTTAGTTACAATATCTTTAAATTCATCTACTTTTGATTTGCCATTTAGAGACAAGATTGTTGAATTAGAAAGGAATAGAAAGAATAACACAAAACAACACAAAAACCATTTAGGTGAAAATGTGGTTTTTTAAAAGAGTATTTGGTGAAAATCAAAAAAACTATGTGAAAAAAAAAATTTAGCAAAATAAAAAGTAAAATAAGAAAAAATTTAAAGTCGATTAGGAAACAAACAAAGGTTGGTTAGTGAAAAAAAAAAATTTGGTTAGTGAGAAAATAAAACGTTTAGATACAATAATGGAGATAATAAGATAAACAGTATCACTGGCCTTTTAGAAAATTTAAAAAGTCTGATGTTGTTCTTATTTTTTATTTTAAAAAGTATTGAGGAGTATCCAACTCCAACTGAATCATAATTTGGAATAATTTTGGCTGAGTGCAAAACTTCTCTTATAAATAATAGTTTGGGAAGCATTAATATTTATTTAATTTCTGTGGGAAGTATTTTAAGGCAGAAAAAAATAAGAATAAGTTAAGATAAAATTAAGAAAAGATTTCCGATGGTTTCACACCATGCCAGGTTTATGACACAGGGAGTTTGTTATTTAACATACAATCTTTAGCCACAAAATTTGTGGCTAAAAAAATGATATTATATTAGGACACAAATTTGTGTCCTAATGTATTTTGTAATGCTGAGACCAAATTTTCATCTGTATTGGTGGGGGGTGTTTTATTTGGAAAAAATATTAATATTTTATGTTAATACAAGTAAAATTTTATCTTTTGCCACTATGCCATTTCCAAAAAAATTAAATGTGCTTTTTAATAACACCTCTAAAACTTATAAATAAAATCATATAAATTTCAATTTTTTCAAGGTAGTCTTAATTATTGTATTATGTAAAAAAGTGACTATTTTATCATGATAAATACATATTGGTAATAATATAAAATCATGGTATATCTCTCACATTGTTCGGTTTTGAATTTTTTAAAACATATTTGATAAAACTTAAAGTTAACAAGAGTATATTATTATACAGGTTTTCAAGACTTTGCAGATTGTTGGGTATCCCCCCTAAATAATTTAAACCACATAAAGTAGAGCTATATAGTATGTTTTAAATGATTTCAGAATAGGGTCTCTGCAGCACTCCGAAAAACCTTTAACTGGGTCAAAAACAAGTTAGATAGAGTGAGAAAGGTCCCCACATATTTATTTTGTTCAACAATAGCCTAGGGATGCAAACACAAGTTATTGCAGGTAAATACAAAATAAACTTGTTTAAAAAAATGCTTTGATACTTATCAATTTTTTCAACCAATTTTTTTTTTTACTTTTTTGATTTTTATATTTAAATTTTTAAAAAACTACTACCTAATAATAATTTTTAAAGTGACCAATGCTCTTTTGTTTAGAATTTAGAAGCTTATTTGAAACAAATATTGCAGTAACACTAAAAAATTAGCAGTACACTATTTCAGTACACCATTCACATATAAAAAGCCTGTTGAAGTTAAATAACAATCTTGACTATTAAAAGCTTGTGAAAGCCACATTGTAGGTTCATATTCCAACTCTGTAAACTCTATTGGTACAAAAGTAATACTCATAAAGTATATAAGTAGTACCTTTGGTATCAAAAAAACTTGTCTACTATTACTTTGTTTTTTTTACAATAAGTTAAAATTTTAAAAGTTAAGATTTTTAAAAGGTGGTCGGTTTTTCATTTATATTTAAAAGATATAATTTATTGGCAACCAAAATTATTATTATTATTATTATTATTATTATTATTATTATTATTATTATTATATGATTTTTAATAATAATAATTTTGATTGAGAAATAAAATTGGCAACCAAAATTATTATTATTAAATCATTATTAAAATGTCACATACTTTTCTTTTCTAATTTCTAAAGCCTTCTGTTCTTCCTGAAAATGTTTGTCTATATTTCTCATAACGCAGCTCTTTTCAAGAAGTTGATCAGTTTTCATCTCCCATACTGCCTAAATGAAAAAAAATGTTACCATGATTGTTAAACTAAAAAACAATGTGAAATGTAAATAAAATGTCACTACGATTGTTATACTAAAAAACAACATGAAATGTGAAAAAAAATTTATAAAAATTAAAAAAAAAGCTTATTTACCACTAAGTAGATAAAAAGAACATATTTAACAAATTTCAAACATAAGCAATATTAAAAATTAATAAAGCCTAAATAAAATTTGTCAGTATCTTACAATAGTAAAAACATAATTGTTATGTTGTTTTTATAAGTTAAAATATTAAAAATAAAATATTTACAGATTTGATTGAATTTAGTTACTAAGGATTATAACTTTTAATTTAATAATCTTCCTTAAAGATATTTTTTTCAAGTGGAATTTTGAAAACAATGCTGTATTGAGAATATGTAAAATTTTTTTAAGCTCATATTAAACAATTTAAAGATCTTTAAAAAGAGTGATAATACAAATAAATAAGTTTTTTTCCAAAATAGCGCATAAAGACACCCCTAAAAACCCCTAAAAAAATGAGAACTTTAAAAATATTAATCTGGTGTGAAACTAAATAAACGAAAAATTCTGAGTAAGTAACTAAAGATGAGACCTTTTTCTAAATTAGAAATCATAAGATCGATTCTTTATATACTTTTTAAACGGTCTTGAGAGCAATGTGATAGTTCTCCTTGACAGATAATGCAACAGGAAGTATGACAGAGGATATAACAGGGAAGAATATATAATAAAGTTTGCCAAAATTTTCAACATGAGTCATGTTTCAACATGAGTCATGCAAATTTTTTGAGCATATTAATATAGAGCCTTATACAAAAAATAAGTTTGAAAGCCATAGCTATTCTGAACAGAAGTTAAACGTTTGTTCGTTTTCTTTTAATTAAATTTTTTTTCAATCAACCCATAAATAATGGTTGTATTTGAAAAAACATGGTACAATAAAATTTTAACAAAGAAATTTAAAAAAAATATATTTAATTATCAGTAAGTTTTTTAATTTACATAATACTTAACTTTTGGTATTATTAAATTCAGTTTACAGTACTTTCCATTATTCTTAGGCTTAACAATTGCTTTTGACAGAAATACCACTTTGAACATTTATTAAACCCAGATAATGAGCAATCATGCCCAAGTGGTTAGAGAACTGACTTTAGAGTCAAGAGGTCTAAGGTTTCTTAACAACTTGAAGCTTGTTATAAAAAAAGTCTTGTGAATTTGATCCAACTTATTGCAATATTATTGCAAATTTAATTAAAACTTTGCAATAGTATTAACAATTTCTTCCAAATGTTTCTGACCATCATATGTAATTATAACTTTATTACTAACATTTTTGGTTTTTGGGTGATGGTCACATAACTTTGATTATAGATAAAACTTTTGTAGTATTTTAGTTTTATTTGTTGAGACACTTTTTTTTCTGCTTCTTTTCTTCAAGTTGCAGTTGTTTACTTCTTTCTTTTTATTGTTTACAGCTATTAAAATTCAAAAGATGTGGATAGCAATACTTTTAAAATAGAAATTCAAAATTTGCAATGAGAGTCATTATTTTTTTAAATCTTTTTACCAGCTTTTGATGGATCTAATAGATATAAACATTAGGCTCTAAAACAAGATTCTAATTTCACCTTTTTAAGCAGTAAATGCTTAAAAATAGGCAGATATTTAATTACAACAATTTTGTTACAAGAAGAAAATCTTTTTTTTTCACTTAAAGAGAGTTACGTGGTTACTTATCACTTATGTTATAAAAAGATTTGACTTGATGAACATTAGGACTAAAAAAAGATTTAAAAAGATATTTGAATTAGAATAAAAAATGTATGGATTAACCCAATTTTTCAATATGCAAAAAAAGGAGAATACCAAAAAACAGAATACTTCAACAAATTCTAGCTTCTGGTGTTAAATGTTATCTTTGTAAAAAAAAAAAAAAAAAAAAAAAAAAAAAAAAAAAAAAAAAAAAAAAAAAAAAAAAAACATAGTATAAAAAAGGGTTCTTTTTAGATAAAAGCATTAAAAAAAACTTTTACTTACATTTTTTTTACTACTATAAAACATTATTATATTTATAATTTTTATAGTTAACTATTATTATTATTGTTATTATTAGTTATTATTGTTATTGTAATTGTTATTATTGTTATTGTTATTGTTGTTATTATTATTATTATTATTATTATTATTGTTACTATTATTATTACTATTATTATTAGTATTACTATTAGTATTACTGTTTTTATTATTATAATTTAAATAATCCTTTTATCGTTATCTATCTTTTATTTGATCACTTTATAAGTTGGACACCTCGTCAAAAACAAGATATCACCATTTTAGAAGGAGAACAGTGCTGTGTCACTATATTGACACCTACCATTAATTTATTTTCTCTTTCTTTTTTCACTAAAACAAAAATATAATGAATTCCATTTTCAATTTCACAAGAACCTAAATAAAAAAATTCTAGAAAGTAGCTTTTTCTAATCATATTAAAAGTAAATGGAAAGTTACTTTAGATGTTAAATCAATGTGTTGTTAACACTTCTATTTAACAGCACAAAAAATGTTACCACCTTAAAAAAAAACTACTTGACCATAAACAACAACTTAACTCAAAAACTAATGTGTAAAATAAATAAAAAAACCAAAGTTTGTAAGCAACTAAAGGTAAACAAACAAAAATGCTATAAAAGTTTAAAAAATTATTATAAAAAAGATTATTATAAAAGTTTAAAAACTTATTTAAAAAAAAAAACATTATAAAAGTTTGAAAAATCATTGTAAACAAAATTTATCAGAGTATTAAAAACTGTTAAATTTTTTTTTTTACTTTTTCCAGTAGTAATATATAAACAAATAAATACTTATAATTCTCTCTTTGATGTAAAAACATTTTAATATACCTAAAAATATTTCAAATATGAATGAGTTCATATTTGAAATATTTTGACTAACAAGAACAAAACAACATTTGACTAACAAGAACAAAATATGAATGAGTTCAACAACATTTGTCTATTTCAGACATCTTACTTTTAACTTCTTCAGTTTGTCGTATTTAGCTTCTGATATAGATTGATTTCTCAACTCTTCAATCTTTCTTCGCTCAAGAGTTAAATGTTCAGCGGGTTTTTTACTTTTTAATCGTCCAAGCTAAATACAAATTAAAATTTGTTTTTAAAGATTAAAATTTTAAAGAAGTATTTTTTATGTGATTATAATCAGGATAGCTAAAAACCAAGGTTTTTTTGAGCGCATAAAAAAAAAACTTTTTCTCACGCAATTGACTCTTGTTTTATTGACTATGTACTACAGGCTTTTTTATTAACAGAGATACTACAGGCTACTCATTTTCTTTTTAATTATATAAAGACACTTTTTAAACAGATAACTTTGAAATTTAGTGCAGTACTAACTAGGATGTGGTAGCATACCTGTCAAGTCTCCCCCATATGGCAAGAGTCAAAATTATCTCCCTCCTGCATTTACAAAAAATTTGAAAAACTTCCTTTTTCTTATTACCAAGTTTTAACCTAACTAAATTGTAAATTTTTTAAATTTTTAGATGAGTAAGGAAATAGCGTGCCCGATAAAGAGCGAATGCTAATTTAGCAATCGATTGTATATATGGCTTCCATGAAATATAAGTAGTAAGCGATAATCCAAAAAGATATAAGGGGTAAAGTTTCAGAAAAAATTGTATAAATGAAGAGACATTTTTTAAATTAAAGCATGGGCTTTTTAAGTTGGTCATACCCCCTTCCCCCATACATTACTTTATTGAACCCTTTATGCAGATCCCTCCACCCCTTAGATATTTCATATGACCCCAAAGGCATTGGTTTCGGCACAGGGTCACAATTTAAAAGACATATGTCTTCAAATATATATATATATACATACATATATATATATATATATATATATATATATATATATATATATATATATATACATATATATATATATATATATATATATATATATATATATATATATATATATATATATATTCACCTTCTTTGGTGGTGTCTTTACCCCCCTCCCCACTCAGTATTAGTGCTGCGGAAAATGGGTCGGAAGCCCCTCCCCAAAACATGCTATTAGGTCTCCAAAATCTTTAAAATCTTTCCACTTGGTATTACTAAAAAAAATGGCTTCTTAAATTTGTAATAAATATTTACTTTATTAAAGTAAATATTTAACTTTTTTTTTTTAACGCATAACTTTTTAACGTATAACTTAGTAAGTTTGTTTAGACAAGAGGTTAAAACTAGCGAACCTGAGAAGAGATCAAAGATTGTATCACAGTCATGTCATTGACTTTATTTTTTTTAAAATTTGTTTTAATGACAAATCAAATAAAAATAAACTTTACTTTCAGGTACCCCTTTTTGATAAGTCCGTAAAAAATTATTCTAAAGCGAGATCAGCAATATTACAAACAAAGCCTAAAACCCAGTGTCGGGGCTAAGTAACACAACTCAATTGGAGGGGGACAGCAAATTTTAGCATTTTATATAAGCAATACCTAGCAGTAAAGTTTTGAAAAATTGGGGCGCTATTAAAAGGTTTTTTGAGGGGGAACCTCCAACCCATTGCACAATTGAAAGATTCAATCAAAATAGGTGGCCAAAAATATAATTGTAGTATTAAAGCAGATATGAAGCCTTAATTGAGTAAATAGATATATAAGATAATAATTTTTTATTTTTGTGTTTAACCAGCTCATAGGCACAGCAAGAAGGGTATTAATTAGAAGAATTAATAATAATAAAAAGTAAGAATTAATAATATTTTCTTGAGCATGAGCTAACACTTTGTGGACGGAAGCTGGGACCTTAAACCAATTATGTCTCTAATGACTTTTCATATGCATCATTGCAGTATTTAATAATTTTTTTCCGGATCATTGCAATTGATTGTAATTACAATGTTATGTAATCTGATAATAATTTCTTCATCAATTTCTAAACTTTTTGACAAAATTGTGTCAAAGAAGTGTACGTGATGTTAACTAAGATTTTCCCATCAATCGTTATGTCATTACATAAAGTATTGTTTGAATCTGATTGAACGTATAGTCAAAGAGGTGATGTTGTTGTAACTAATAGATCCGAGTCTTAAAGGTTATTTTGATTGGAATTATTTAAACATTGATAGTATTTTGAATGATTTGATGTTCTGTCCATACTCCAAATTTATTAACTCATGATACCTCAAATTTATTAATTCATTAAAGTCTTTTTTTATCATCCAAATGTTTTAAAATTTCCTTTTTCTGTAGTTTCACAAGCCTCTTGGGTGTGTGATCCATAAGATCCTGTAATTTAACATGAAATAAAAAACAAGGTGAGCACTTGTTTTTTATTTCATGTATTACTCGATGGAAATCTGCATGGTGCTTCTTTATAAGTACTTTCATAAACACTTTTTGAAAGTTTATCATCCCAGAAATGCAAAAGCTTCTTCAGACGTCAACTCTTTTGTTGGTTGACCTTATTTTACTGATTTATTTATTAAACCCTCTTGATTACCTGGTGATTCAACTATTTTGTTGAGTCTTCATTCATAAAATAATTGATTTAAATCAATTGCTTTAAAAGCTGAATTAAGCCAAACCTGATTGTTATCAAATATTTATTTTGTCTTCTCTGACTTGAATCCTAGTAATAATGTCTTTAAACCTACATTATCAAAAGTATTCTTCAAACCTAAAAGCATTGCACAATTTATCTTAAATTGGTTTCCTCAATTATCTTAGTTCACAACAATAAACTTACAAAGTAAAAAAAAAAACTTTTTAACAACATTTAGAAATTCATGTGGTTTTTGGTCGATTACTGGGACATCAAAAACGCACTTTAGAATTATTTTTTCTTAAATTAATCATGTATTTTAAAACCATAAACACATAAAATTGAAGTAAAAAATAATTTTTTTTATTCAAAAAAAATTTACTCGAGTCTTTCATGCCTAAAAATAGTTTTTTTTTTTTTACCTTTAGAAATGAAAGAATAAAAAAATTGCTTTTATTCAAAGAAGTTTTTTATTTGTTTAAAAAAATACCAATTTTCCAAAATTATTTATCGCTGAATTCATACAAATGATTGTAGCCACACTTCTCAGGGTAGTCAGTAGACATAATAGACTAAAAAATATCAATAGGTAAAATTATGAACAAATTTTTAATTCGTCATCAAAGTTAAAATTTAGTACTTTAGTGATAAACTTTTAATTACAGGTGTATCGGAGTGGAAATTTGAATTCCAGCCGGAACCAGATTTGCCAGAGTTGTTAACAAAGTTCCGGCCAGAACGAGAATCATATTTATGTAATTTTTTACCTTCAAGATTTAAAGTGAATGCCTGCACCTCAGCATCGTGGCTACATAATATATATTTATAACTTAATATATATTTATATAACCAATTTCATTATTCAATTATTGTTTCGTTTAAATCTAATATGTTGTTTTTATTTGTTTCTAATAACTTTATTTAGTAAAAGTTTTAACCTGCATGATATTTATATTTAAAATTATTTCTTTGTTTTGTATTTTTTTATTTAGGTTAAAATTGAAATATTTACTGTATCAGGCATTCTATACTTTTTAATTATTTAAAACTTAAGTAACATTTAAAATAAGACTATTTTCAGAGTAAAGTAACATTTTTGATGAAAAAAAACTAGTTTGTTTCCCAAAACTGGATAGCAACTCTTTTTGCACCACAACATTCCTAAACTTCTAGAAACTTTTACATAATTGATTACTGCAAATAAAAATACGTTGTGTTTGTTAAGAATTTGGTATTTTTTAACTAGGTTTACTTATAGTTCTTCATTACCATGAAGAACAATTTTTTTTGATTTAATTTACAAAGTCACATGTCTTAAAAAAAAAGTTAAAAAATAAATTCCGGCCTAAAATATTGTAATTCCAGCTTGAACCAGAATGACCTAAAAATCAAAGATTCTGACCAGAACGGAATTCCAGTACACCTCTACTTTCAATACTAAAAATTGTAGTACCAACTTTTTCAGGAAATTTGTTATTTATATTTTTAACAGTCTTTATTATAACCTTTCCAATGATATGCATATTGTCAATTTTTCAATGATCTATATATTAAAAAATAATAATTACTAAAACCCAGCATCTTAAGAATTTTTATCAAAAATTCTTTAAAAACCTAACTTTAATACCTAACTTTAAAAAACCTAACTTTAAGAAGCCACTACCATTTAATCTGTCACATTAGAATTTGATAAATTGGAAATTTCTTAATGAGGGTGTTAATAACAAAATCCACTATCAGACATAATGATTGAAGTCACTTTTTTGATTTTTAGCCATATGATTTCCCACTGTGTATTGGCCAAAACATTGCTAAAACCTTTTTTTTGTGGACTCAAAAAAAGGATTGCCTGAAATGCAAGTCCACCTTACTCAGGGCCAGTATATAAGTGTGTGCATAGAGGATCACTATACCAATATACTATAAAAGAACAATAAAACAGCAAGATCCCCGCTCTACCCTATCTCACAGTAGGGTAGACCTACGAACAGTCAATATATATATATATATATATATATATGTGTGTGTGTGTGTGTGTGTGTGTGTGTGTGTGTGTGTGTGTGTGTGTGTGTGTGTGTGTGTGTGTGTGTGTGTAATAATTTCATTTAATTATTTTATCGGAAATTTGAGACCCTTTTGTTATTTTGAAAAGAATAGCTTAAGTTTAAAAATCTGATCATATAATGATTGAAGGATATATACCCTCATATGGGGTAATATGGCCACCACGGGGTAATAAGGCTTGTTTAGCATATTTATCAGTTTTTCACTAAAATCATCTAAAGTTTTAAAGATGCAGTGTCCCACTCTACATTTTTATTTTTATAGCCCAAATATTAACCTAACATTTTAATATCTGTAACATAAAATTAAAATAATAATAATCTTGTTGCTGAGTGTTTTTTGCATTTGATTATTTTTGTCTTTTCAGACTTTAAAAACACTAACTATTGCCAAGCAAACATTCGAGGGACAGTTTAGCCAAAATTTTAACCAGACCTCTATGAGCTACTTAGGTAAGTACATTATAAAGCTCAAATCATTTACCTTAAGATAAGTGGGTTAAATAGATTTTTTTTTAAATTTGAGGTAGTAAGGCAATGTATTGATTTAATGATAATTTTTTTTTTAATCAGTTGCTGCTGGTATTCCAGTTAAAATGGCTTTTGAGACTTACAAAGTTTCCAGATCAACTTTTAGAAATTTTCTATGTGATAAGACCAAATATGCAGACACCTTGTTGAACTTCTATTCCTGCTAAGTAAGAGCTTGTCATTACTCAAAATTAAGCAATGCTAAATCACTTCATCACCAAAATGAAGAGCTTTGGGATCTGGCTGCGCTATAACAATTCATCAAAATTACCCTTCACAAATATAAGTGAACTTCTCTTGGAAAGATTAAACTTACAGATTTTTCTCTCCATAACCTAATTTTACAGAAAAATTTTCAGAACATTTTAAAGAGCAGTGCAGCTATAAATGAAGAATAGTTTTTTTGTTGTTGTTGTTTTTTTTAACAATCTATGCAACCTGATCAATATATTTTCTTTCTAATGTAATGAACTATAATAAGACTAATATCAACAAAAACCCTGGCTTTAAGAAAACAATTTATAGAAAGACCATACAACATCTGCATACCATTCTAAAGATTGAAATGCCTTTGCAACTTGTTAGGAATTTTCGTATTTTATTGTAAATGTATTTGCATTTTGAACTTTATTTTAAAAATCTAGTTTTATGATTTAAAACATACTTTCTTAAATTTCATAATCATTTATTGCAATGTTTTATTGTTTAAATTAGTTTTATTTGTTAAGTGGCCTAACTACGCCATATTTTGATTTTTCAAATATGATTTTCATTAATAAACTTTAGTTAAAATTTTAAATTTGATTTTCACATATAATGTGCATCTTGTATGAGTAATTCTTGAAGAAAGTTCACGAATTTATAAATCTTATTAGTTTTTTTTTGTACTTTATTTGAAAATCTATGATGTGCGACTTTTATTAATTTCTTAAACATGTTTTGCAATGCTTTTTTGTTTAAATTAGGGTTTTTGTTAAGCTGACAAATCTTTTCGATTTTTCAAAAATGATTTATATTAATAAGTTGTGGTTAAAATTTAAAAACTACATGACTGATTTTCACATATAACATCCATCTTTTAGAAGCAATTCTTGAATAAAATCTACAAGTTTATAGCTCCTGTATTGTAAAGAATTGAGAAAAAAACAGTCAAAATATGACCATATTACCTCATAAGACGGTGTGTATAAATACAATTAATTATTCCTCATTAATTATTTATACTTATTGGATTTGAAACACAAGTTAAAACAATATTAGAAAGTAATAAATATACTAAATACGTATGAAACTTAAAATTCATGTGCTCATGCAAAATAAGTAATATATAATGCATAAACAATTTTTTTGTTTACGAATATGACATTCATATATAAACATATAACTTTTAAACTTCATAAAAATAATGATTAACTTACAATTGCGACACTATGAGGAGTAGGCCCAGTAAATTCGCGATGTCTTTGTAAAATATATGTCATTTTTTTGTTAAATTTTTAAAATATTTAGAATTATATTTTAGCCGAAAACGTTCTCATAAGAATACTGCGATCAACCATATTTATTTATTTATTGCGAAGGCAAGCGGACGGGTTGCTAACGCGTGCATTAAAAAAAAATGTACTGCGATGAAACACGTTTTATTTTAAACGCGTTTTATGCATTACATGTTTTAAAGTTTTATAAACTGTGTAAAAGAACAACAAAACAGCAAGATCCCCACTCTACCCTATCTCGCAGTAAGGTAGACCTGGGAACAGTCAATGTATATATATATATATATATATATATATATATATATATATATATATATATATATATATATATATATATATATATATATATATATATATATATATATATATATATGTATATATATATATATATATATATATAAATATATATATATATATATATTATATATATATATATATATATATACATATATATATATATATATATATACATATATATATATATATATATATATATATATATATATATATATATATATATATATATATATATATATATATATATATATATGTATGGATGTATATATATATATACATATATATATATATATATATATATATATACATATATATATATATATATATATATATATATATATATATATATATATATACATATATATATATATATATATATATATATATGTATGGATGTATATATATATATACATATATATATATATATATATATATATATATATATATATATATATATATATATATATATATATATATATATATATATATATATATATATATATATATATATATATATATATTAGGGTGCAGTGAAACTTTAGGTGAAAATATAAATAGTAAATTATTGATATGTAATAGCAACAAAAAGTTGCTTTTTGATATGTGTTCAAATAAAGTGAATAAAAGTTCCTCAAAATTTTAATGTCTTCAGCTGCCTCAAGGGGGTCAAAGTTACTGAAAAATAGGTATTTTTCATGAAAACAGCCTGTTTTAGCCATAACTTTTTTAAATAAAAAACTGTATTTTTTTCTTTATTAATACCCTAAGCCTACCCAGTGGGCACGGAAGTAAAAAAGACGTCTTTTAAACGTTTAAAATACGTCCAAAACGTTCAAAAGACGTTCAGAAAACGTCTAAAACGTGTATAAAACGTTTAAAAGACGTCTTTTTTTACTTCCGTGCCCACTGGGTAATTCCTAACAGCATTGTTTCACCCAGTACTGTATTAAGGGGGCTAGTTTAGTGGTGGGGGGCTAGGGGCTATAGCCCCAGGTCCTGAAAAGAGTCAAGAGAAGTTAAGCAGCCATGGTGCAGTGGTAGCGCACTTGCCTCAGAAATGTAAGATCCGTGGTTCAAACCCCACCTCTAAGCAAGTTTTGCGACATCGGTTGGGAAGGACTTCTTGGGGCACCTAAAATCAACTTAAAAAAAAAAAAAAAAAAGTTTTTTTTTAGTCATCTTTACGCTCTGACACATAAATAAGGGCCCTGAAAAGTCTAAATTCGCCATTGGTTTCACCTAACCTGTTTTGGTTATCTTGGTTATTTCACCTTTATAACTATTTAATAAATGTTTAAAATCAAATGTTTTAAACTATTTGTTAACTTAATGTTATATTGAAGTAAAATGTGTTTTATTAACCTTTTTTTAGTTATTTTTTAGAAATAATTATCTAAGTGGTTCATTATATTTCTTTTAATACTTCTCAATATATTTCTTTGCATATCAAGAAATTGTTACTAATGTTTGTTATTTTAGTTTAGCTTTTAATTTTATTTATGGCTTGCTAGATTAAAGTATAAATCAATAATTACTTATGAATCTAATACAAATTTGCTTATAAAAGAACAAGTTTTAATATGGCCATTAGGTTAGTGAGAACGAGGATGATGCTGACCTGTCTTTGGTATACCTAAAGAGATGTCGCAAGTTGTTTTACCAACATATGAAGATGTAATGAAACATTACTTGCTTGTAAAACATCAACTGAAACCAACAGCTGCAACGAAAGAACCTACTATAACAGTAATCTCTGAAAAGGTTGCACAAGTTGTTGAAAAAATATGGTTAAAACTGATGATTACTCATACACGGGTATTAAAGGTGATTCACGGGTATTAATGGTGTTCAAACTATTTCGAAACATCAAGCGCAGTAATTATGATAGCAAAGTAAACGCTTTTAAAAAAGATGCAAGACATAAATTGTTTGACATCTGCACCTGTAAGTGTGTGTTTGAGAAGTGTGTATGTAAAAACTCGCAAGGTTCCTCCTGCAGAGCAAAATTTTATCCAAGATTAGAGAACTCTCAAATTGATGTGCATTGGCAATGTTGATAAACTTGGCCATGAAGTTTAAAAAAAAAGTATTGAGCAGCATATAAGCATCGCAATGCCTTGTCTGTGCCTACGGTTGGTGATTTTGAAAGTCGATCTACAGCTCAAAGTGATGCAGATGATAATTACATTAATAAACGTAATATTTCCGATGTTTTTTCCATTGACATTATTAGTTCTTCGTATTTTCAATGTCGGCAACCACTTGCTGCATTAGCAAACGTCTGTGACCGGTATGGGATCTCAGATAGAGCCGGAGCTGCAATAGCAAATGTAGTTTTGGAAGACTTTAGTGTTGTTAATCAACAAGATACCTCGTATGTTGTTGATCCGAGTAAAATATGACGGGAGCGTAAGAGAAAACGTAATCAACTAAAAACTTCTAAAAATTCAAAAATAGTTCGAGGAATTTATTTTGATGGACGAAAAGACAAAACTCTTGAAAACATCAAGGAAGGGTTAAAGTTGAAAGGAATTTGGTATCAAGGAAGGGTTAAAGTTCTATTGACAAAGTATTACTCAAGAGCACATCTCTTTAATAGACGAACCAGGGTCTAAATACCTTGGGCATTTATCACCATCTGGATCGTCTGCCTATTTGATAAAAAGTTCTATAGTCAACTTTATAACTATCAAAAAAACTGACGTTAAAAAGTTTGTAGCTTGTGGATCTGACGAAACTGCCGTAAACACAGAAATTAAAGGTAGTGTAATAAGGTTGATGGAAAAAGAATATAACAAATCGTTGCAATGGTTGGTTTGTCTTTTGCATGCAAACATGCGAGATATAGTAGATCCTGTATTACAACTAAACGGCTATTTTGCTCATTCAGAAAATCTTTTACTAGCAATGGTTAGTAACAAACGCCAACAAATTCGTGATTTAGGATTAAGGCGCATTCTTAAATGGCGACAGGAAAAAGATCACACACTGCGTACTTTCAGTTTACCAAAGCTTAACTTAGATGCACATGATTACATAGAACTCATCTACTGGAAATAAAATAAAATAACCGAGCCACCATTGACAGCTGATGAGGCTTCGCTGGATGTATGTGGAGAAAAAACTCGAGATGGTTTTATTCGATCGCGTTTACATGCACGTCTCATAATGCTAGTGTTTAACACAAAGTCAGAATATCGTGCTTCCGAACCAATAAATTGGTAGAGTGTAATGACAGATTTTCTAAAACTTGATTGTGTATGTTAAAATAATTAATGAATAGATATTTTTGTTTCACCCTTTAACTTGTTATAGACTTGCTGACTTACTAATTTGCTAATCTGCCACAGTGACGGAGAGAGGGAAGGGGAAGCGCAGAGGACCATGTCCCCTAATTATTTTCAAAAAGACCTTTTTTTATTTTTACAAAGTCGGTGTTTAAAGTAGTACTTATTGACATTTTAAATTTTTTTAGTGGATTGATCCCAATCCACCCCCCTTTTCCCCACGAAAGTGTCACGCCTTGAAATATATATAACCTTAAAAGGTCATCGAAATATGTTCATATTAGATAAAAAAGAATGACATGTATTTCATTCTTTTTAATTATTACAGTTTTTTCTGAAAGAATTTGACAAAGAAGTATAATCTTTAATCAAAAAAAATAATTGACTAAAACACTCAATTGTCATAAAAAATACCTCTTTTTAGTAACTTTGTCCCCTATGAGGCAGCTGAAGACATTGAAGTTTTTGAAAATTTTTTTTTCAATGTTTGAACACTTACTAAAAGACAACTTTTTTTTGCTATTACATAAAAATATTCCACTTTTAATTTTTTTACTGCACTCTAATATATATATATATATATATATATATATATATATATATATATATATATATATATATATATATATATATATATATATATATATATATATATATATATATATATATTATATTGTATGATATTTTGTATTTGCAATAAAATACAAAAAACTCTTGAACGTATAAGAGTGCTCAATAATAAATAAATAGGATTTATTTATATTATTTAATAGAGCATTATATTAATTTATAAAAATAAAGAAAACAACTTTTTATATATATATATATATATAAAAATATATATATATATATATATATTATATATATATATATATATATATATATATATATATAATATATATATATATATATATATATATATATATATATATATATATATATATATATATATATATATATATATATATATATATATATATATATATATATATATATATATATCCAGGTTCGAAACAAGCTTTGGACTTATTTTCGCGTCACGGTAAGGAAGGAGGCGTGAACTTCCTGGTTAAATGCAATTCCGCGGTGCACTGTGACAAGACCGTTCACGGTCGTTTAAACTCGGCAAGTTATTGTACGCAAGCGCAGTTTGGTTATAAAAATTTTAGAATAGAATTTAGAGTTTTAAAATTGCTACGGGCCTTCGCTACAAAGTTAATTTTCAGATGAGTACCAATTTTTCTTAACTCGTGGCGTTTTTTAGCATTGTCTACAAAGATAACCAGTTGATCGAATTCTTAGTAGTGTTTCTGTAACTTAACTTTGTTAGATAATAAGTAAAAAAAAAAGAATATAATTTTTTGATTGGTGCAGACATTAAAAAATATATATATATTTAATTTGTTTATAAATTTAAAAGTCTTTTTTCTTTTTTTTTGAGCGTTAAAAATTTTTATAATTTCATATAGAAGAATCTTTTATCTTCCCATTACTTA